TAAGACAGCCTACAGGAAGTTGTTCTTCTAAGACAGCCTACAGGAAGTTGTTCTTCTATAAGACAGCCTACAGGAAGTTGTTCTTCTAAGACAGCCTACAGGAAGTTGTTCTTCTAAGACAGCCTACAGGAAGTTGTTCTTCTAAGACAGTCAACAGGAAGTTCTTCTATAAGACAGTCTACAGGAAGTTGTTCTTCTATAAGACAGTCTACAGGAAGTTGTCTATGGTGTGCCTCCACAGACATGTAGGACAAAGTGTCCTCAGACTCTGGGTTCTGGGGCAGTTCTGATAAGCTGATGTGGATCAGGTGGTCTCAGGTCRGTCCTTCAGCTGATGGCTTCAGTTCATCAGTAACCTTTTCCATCTCCACCATCCTGTACGGTCTTACAAATCTTCAGGGTTGCAGTGAGGGATGTGCTGTTGTCTCCTCTCAGTTTGTTTCTAATATTTCCTCAGGAATGCAGACAGACCTCAGCCTGATGATTTCTGCAGCTTTTCTTCTGCTCCTGTCATCCCAAAGCTCCTCCTCTCCTSCAAACGCTCCAAATACCAAATATTTCCAGGCAAGTTCAAGTCATGGAAACTGATCTTTATTTTATTTCTGCATAACACATWCCTCTGCAAAACTCAAAGCTACAGTCCTCTACCTGGTTTTAAACTGTCTAATAAAAACACAAGCATGCACTGGATACACTTTACAGTTAAAATGTACAAAAATATATGTAAGAAAAACACAGTACCTTTGAAATWATACAAATATATGGATAGTTAAAGTGTCTGCCATCAGACTGTCAGGAGAGCCCTTCAAAATAAAACGACAGTATTAACGCTGCGTTCCAGCTCCGCTCAGTGGAACCAGAAGTGTCGAGGGTAGAGACCATCGTAGTGATATTCCCTCAGCTGCTCGTTTGTCTCCCTCGACCTCTCGTTTAGCTCTGTACAAAAAAAACAAAACAAAAACTAAGTCGTTACAAAAACCTGAACGGACCAAAACGTGAAGTTCAGTGGAAGTTTGTGAGATTTCTTATTCATTTTTTATTCCCACAGTGTTTTTGATGCGTATATAAATAACACATCAATCTGTGTTTTTGTTGAGTCTCACTCTTTCAGGAACTTCACCTTYTCTTTTTAAATCAAACTCAAACAGGCGCAGACTTCCCTTCAAAACCGTCATTGAAGGGTTTTTTTATCTTCTCATACCTCCCACATAAAACTCCGTAGACCCCCAAAAACCTCAGTCTTGCGACTGTCTGTGTCTTCTGTCAGTCACGGTTCAAGAATTTTTAAGATCCGACTCATCGTTTCCGCACAGCAACCGTTTGTTCGAGGCTTATTTTCAGTCTGCCTTTCTGCCTCTCTTTAACTATTGTGGTGACCTGATTAAGATTTAGTTTCTCTTTTCATCCTGTTTCTCTTCTTACACAGTCTTTCTATATAAATAGTTTTTTTTAAATTAAATAACGACATATTCAGGTTGAAGTTTATCGACAAGATGTGAAAATCTTTAGAAAAAATTATTGCTTTTATTGAATTTGGTTTTACATAATAAGTAAATAAATGTAGACATATTTGTGTTTAAGGTGCATCGTTTGCAATAAACAAAACTAAAACAATAAAAGTTATCCGGATCACATACATGTGTTGTTTTGTGTTGTTTTGTTGTGCTCTGGGCTCGCTGCACGGTGTGCGTGCGTGCGTGCGTGCGCACCACATGCAGGCAGGTCGCGTGTTTGTGGGAAGTGGTTCTCAGTTTAGAAACTGAAGAAGTACCGCAGGCAGGACTGTCAGCTCCTGCCAGACCACAAATGAACACTTTGAGTCTCCCTCCTGCGGTCCAGAGGATCATCCTGGTCTGGTCTCTGCTGACCCGGGTCCTGACGGATCACATTCCTAAGGGTTTTGGTGAAACTCTGCTGGGGGTTCCAAACYAGCTGCATTTAGACTCTAAGCAGTGGGATGTGAAGTATTTCTGTATTTATACCTTTTTTGTTTGATGACTGGAAATAATTTTGTTTAATTTTTACTTTTTTTCTTGCTTTTTACTGAAAGACTTTAATGGTTTAACTCAGTTTATTTGACAGATTTTAACCCAAAAGCATAAAAATACATAAAATACAAAATATATTTGACAATATATTACCATGTAATAAATAAATCAAACATCTGTGTTGATGGTTTTAACAAACAACCTGTCAGGAGTTTAAAAAGTGTCTAAAATTCAGTTAATTTTACACAGTTTGAGCTCAGATCTGGTGTGGTAGTAGCTGAGAGTCCTCCTTAATGTGCTCTAACAGGTGACAATTTAATTTACATTTAAAGTTTCATTAGAATATAAGGTCACAGYTGAATGTTCGGCCTTCTGTATGGAGGTATTTTCGTAACAGAATTCCGAGCTYACCAAAATAAAAGCCTAAAAATATWAAGATCTGGTTGTGGATCCAGGTTCTTACCGTCTCGATCCTCCTCCACGTAGTTCTCGTACTCGGTCCTCTGCTCCTCGTTGAACTCCCTGCGCCGCTCGCTGGCGGCTCGCTTCACTCTCTGCTCAGCTGTTGGGACAAACAGCTGACTGCTCAACACTTTGTTTACACTTTCTTTACACTTTCTTTACACTTTAGACAGGAGGAGCTCTGATTCTGCAGAGGTTTTCTACATCTGTCTCACTTATTTAACCCCAAATGTTAGTTTTCACGCTGGCACCGAGCAGCTTCTGTTCACATCCAGACAACAAAATAAAGGTYTTCGACTCGGTAGTTTCTGTCAACAAACAAACTGCAAATCATTTTCCCTCAGAGGAGACCGACGAGTCTTTTCAAGCCAAACACGTGTTTCTGTTCGTTTCTCCTCGACACAGATTCTTTTAACAACCATTATCTGAGCTGCTGGCTGAGTCAAAAGTATCAGGACACCCTTTCAGTTTGATCCAAGATGGCAGCCGTGTTCTGGACGTAACTTAAAAGATACGCCCCCCCATACTCTTTACTTGCCAGGGTGGTCAGATGTGTTGTTTCCTCTTTTCTTTCAGAAATAAAAAGGCGTCCTGAGACTTTTGAATCAGGCTCCTATCCTGAAAACAAAACCATGTTAACTCGAAACAAACAGTAGCTTCAAGCTCATTTTCTTTATAAATAATGTATCAAATGGAATTTAAAACGCTTAGACAGAATCAAATGCTCATTTAAGAAACTGAAATTAAATAAAATGGTCTAATTTTGGTGCTAATTAGCACTTAGCTAAATGCTCCATGCTAACTTTGAGATGCTAGAATAACTCCAGACTCTTACTCTATTAAATACTGACTAAAATATTTTGTATGTAGCATAAGCTAAAGAGATTTATGCTAATTTGTCCAGTTTCCTCAAACTAACTAAAATCTTCCCCGCAGCATGAAGCTGCCACCGCCGTGCTTCACTGATGGGCTCACRGAGTTATTTCGCATCAGGTGGTTTGTATTTGTGTTAATGAGTTTGGAGGTTTTGTAAAGTTTTCTGGGTTTGGGTGGTGAAAACAAGAAGCAGCGTGCTCCACAGAAACCTGTGACTCCTTCTGCTACACCCGGGGTCTGCAACCTGTGGCTCTGGGGCCACATGCGACTCTTTGGTCCCTCTGCAGTGGCTCTTTGAAAATGTGACCAAACATAACAGAATATTTCTTGTTGTTTTTATACCCACAACAGAAATCAATGTGTGTGCAAATATGTGAGCAATACTACGAATATAAAAAGTAAAACATGTTAGCTCATGTTAGCCTGTTGATTACTTAAATATTCCAAATTTTTCTACGACCTTTCTGTCAAATCCATCAGAATTGCCTTTAAATAATTTGAAGATTGCATATTAATAAGAATTTTTTAAAAAGTATGCCTGAATAAATCCATTGTACTAGTTTTTATGAAATTCGGTATAAACTTAATATGGTATTTTTCTTCTTTACATGAACATGTTCTTTTTATTGTCCTGATG